TGGTGGTGGTGGTGGTGGTAGGGTGGCTGGATGCCTAAAGGTCTGTACAAGAAAGTCAGCATTTTGGCCCAAAAAATTCTCATGCCAAAATCCACGCCGCGCTCTTCAGTGCCAAAGAAAGTCCGCCAGTGAGAACCGCCCGTGTAGCAACGTCGCCGCCTGGTCCTGCCTGGCCGTCCACGATCCTGCCATTGCCCACAACACTAGTTTGCCATAGCCTGGCCAACCTTCGCCAACGGCGCAACCAACCGTTCTTGAGACTCAAATGTATCGGAACGCCACCGTGACCTGCATCGTTCAGGCTCTGCCATCCATGGATGTGATTGGCCATAGCCAGGAGGGATGAAGTTGACCGCGCGAGCCACAGCAAACACTGCGAAGAAGCAACCTGAACGAGCCCAACCACAGCTCCTGAGGTGGCAGCGCAGGCCTCGGTTTAACGCCCGGCAACTCGGGGCTCAATAACGTCACCGGCCGTCATGCCTAAGTTTTGGGAGCCTGTTCAAACAGGTTGTATTTCTCATCCACCGCTCCATTTTGCCGGGGCCATCGGTTCAAGCCCCAAGGCCATTCAGGCGCCAGGACAGGTGAGTTTCAGGAGACGGCTATTCGAACGAACCAGGCTGCATGAGTCCTGGTCCACGAAGAAGAGAAGGTGAAGTCATAAAGGCGACTGATTGCGTAAATAAGGGAATAGAAAGAAGAGCGAAAACAGGTGTTCTACCAGTGTTGTAGCGGGCGAGTGAGGGCTCTTGCCAATAGGCCTCCTAGGTTACACCTCAAACTCCAGGTTCATCTGCTGCAGACTGAGGTGGAGAGTGTAGTCGACATGGACGTCACGACGGTGCGAAAGACGCTGAATGCCATGGATCCCGGCCTTCAGGCTTCCCGTTTTGATTATATCCCACCTCAAGCGACACATTACGTCAGCAGCATCGTGTATGGTGCAAAATGCCTGGCCATCTTCGAGCAGAATGCGCAGTCTGAGGATGACAAAACGATCATCCAGGGATCCCTATCAGGCTGGGGCCCGGGCATCGTCTTTGATTTGTTCTTTTTTTGGCCCTAGATCCCAACTTGTGTTGATGTTAGTTTCGTGCAAGCGAAAGACCCCATGCTGCTTGTCGGAAGTGATGCGTGAGTCATGCCCTGACAGTCCAAATCAAGACCCTGCTGGCAGAGTTCTCGGGCACAGCCACTGTAGACGTGCAGGAGTCGAGCAGCACGCAGTGGAGCAACATCTCAGTTCGAGTGGAAGGTGATGTCATCCCGGGTACGATGACCAGTGCTGGTGCACCGGAGGCTTCCAGGCGTTTGTCGCGACGCCAGGCGCCACAATCCCGGGCCAATCCCCGGAAGCTCTTCTGGGGGTCTTCGACAAACTGCACCGACATGAAGGACTGGGACGATGGGCGTGGAAACCCGTGTAGCCACTATCAGGATCCCGACAAGGATCTCTGCTCGAACTACCACCGTGATTGGCCCATAGGAGTGTACAAGCATTACTATGGAAGGCCTTCGCTGCCACCTTCCGGCGAAGTCAATTTCCCGGACTTGCAGTGCTGCGGATGTGGCAGATGCCAGGACACATCTTCCTGGACGGATGGCGCAGGAAAGACATGTGATGACTACCGCAAGGACTTCTGCAGTGGTGACAGGTACGAAGGCACCACAGCCGCTCATCTTGTCAACAATCCCCAGATGCATTGCTGCGGTTGCGGCCGATGCGAGGACACCCCTGGCTACAACTCCAAAAATACGGTGCACAATTGTGACTGGTATGTGGATCAGGAAATTTGCGTTGGCGGAGTATTCAATGAAAGCAAGCTCAAGCAGAAGGCCAACAAAGACATGCACACGGCGAACTACCCAAACATGCACTGCTGCGCTTGTGGCAAGATGTACATGCTTGGAGGTTCATCTTCTGCTCCACCAACTCCTGCTCCACCAACCCCTGCACCGGATGTTGGTGACTTCACAGATGCTGGTCTTGGCAGCCAGCGTGAGGAGGTTACGATGTCAATGCCCTCGAAGGTGCCAACAGATCCGCAGGGAGCGTTAGACTACCTATCCAAAGTGCATGTCGCTGCTCTGGAGGGCGGCGGTGTACCCGTGAAAATCACATTGACCCCTCTGAAGTGGCTGTACAGCTAGCGACTCAGTTGACGCCTGCACTCCATGCCTCTCCATGCATTGTCCAGCAAAAATCTCAAGAGTTCGCTTGGCTGAGGTGGCCATGAAACATTTGCCAGGAAGCTGACAGATGACTTGATCGAAAAGGCCCTCGAGGTTGCGGAGGAGTTCGACCAGGCAGTCAGGATCATTAACGACCTGGCTGATGAGGACCACCCAATGCCGGATACTTGAAAGCTGAGCCGTACACCATGGCCCGCAGATGCGGTCAATTCCATGCCGGGTCTGTAAAGAGCGACACATCGCTCGACCCTCCATTGAAAACCCTTCAGCCCGGAAGTCGCGCTGAAGAGCAAACCCCAAAGCTCAAGGTCCTCCCTGTCAACTTTCGAAGCAAGGGCAAGGAGCCTGAGTAGGTAAGTCGTCGTGATGGAAACATTAGTCCGATCTAGGCAGCCTCCAGGAGCCTTGAGTCAATGCCGCACAAGCTGCACATGATTCACGCAGTGCTTTTTTCGACGGGTGAACCACGTGAACTGCTAGTGTGCGAGTCTAGGTTGGTACGTTGTACAGAATGTAACTGTACAGATCATCAGGTCAGGTAGCTCTGGGTAGCTGCAATTTCTCGATAGGTCAAACTAACATAGTAGCTTCAGGCAACAAGGTGTATCGAATCCCGTGAAGAGAGCCATTTTAGTGCAGCTGCCAGAAAGCTTCAGTTAGTGTCCTCATTTGTGAGTAATTGGACGCTTGGAGGTCAGGTCAAGGTACCATTTCAAAGTGATGTTGTGGCAAGCAACAGACTGCAAATGCAACAACCACAAC